TTTCTGTTATGTAAAATTTTCAAATATGTTTCAGATGGCAGACACATTTGGGCCTAATTAGGGCTACTTTACTAATTTAATTTTACAAGGATTACATTATCGTTAAGTAAGGCGATGCTGAGTTTCGATGAGTAATCTGATCTGATGCAGTTTTGTCTGTGAGCGGCAGGGATGTAACCGTGTTTAGAAATGAGTCCGATATTTATTTATTTAAGGTGGAGCAGCTGTGCTCCAGTGACCAGCAGAAAAGGCTGCACCTCTGAAGAGTGCTAGAGCTGCACTGCAATCAAGGCTGAACACTGAAAGATTTCTCCACTGTGTGTGTAAATATCTACAATGATTGCTGTGTTTATAAAACGACAACTAAAACAACAAAAACAGAAATATTGTTTCAGTTAAAACGAAAACAGCACAAAGAAAAAAAACTACTCATTCAGCGGCTCTGGCCCTGCTGGGTCTCTGAGTCACTCCTCATGCATAAACCAGCCAATCATCTTTCCTCGTGAGATCATCAACAAACTAAACACAACCCAGTCCGAGGCACCGTAGGGCAGGCCGCTCCTTCGTAGGCTGCCTGCAGAGCGTCACACATTTGTGCCAGTTTTTACTCTTGTTTTTTAGACAAAGTAAACTTTCAAAGGTCCGGACGTCGCTGACCTCAGCAGGCAGGCTAGCATTCATTAGCATTAGCTAAAGGAAAGACATCCCAGGGTCAGCGCTGACCTCCAAAACCAAACAAACATCCCTCCATGAAGCCCGGGACCTGCTGAACTCCAGAGCTACAAAGCTTAATTAAACCAACACTACAGAGCCAGAGTCTGCAGTTCCTCTAATGTCCACTCGAGGCTGGCTTAAAGACGGAGTCTGTCCCCACAGAGTCACATGTTTACAGCCACGATATCTGATTCCAGCATAACAGCTGTAGCAGGAATATTTTATTATAGATCTGACTCATGAAACTGGGTGGAGGAATTCAAGGCGTGACGTCCCTGAACTGGGTCTCATGACCGTGTTTGAGCTGGTAAAAGTGTTAAAAGCAACATCGTTGTGGCCAAAAAGATAACGTGAAGAAATGCAGTCCAGATGTGTAATAAACTGCAGGTAGGTCAGTCCTCATACAGCCTGGGTCTCATCTTAAACGAAGTAGAGGTGAAAGAAGAACACGATGGTAACATTTAGGGCTGAGGTAGCTCATCTGGGTCCTGTAGAGGGTTTAATAGGAGAAAAAAAAAAAGTAGTCTTTCCCAGATTTGCCTGTAAATGCAGAGAAAAGCAGTTCTAACCACCTTTCAGACGGGCTGTGTCTGCTCCGGTGTGTTGGAGTCACATATCTGTGTCTCTGCAGGGAAAGGGTTAAAAGGATGTCGAAGGACTCGGAGCAGCAGACAGAAGATGAAGTATTGACGTCCATCTCCTGGAGTCAGGGCTGCAGGGGAGGGGGGGTAGGGGGGTTAGATAACGAGCCGGAGGAGAGGCGGGGTGGCCATGACGACCGGGCCGGGCTCGAGGGATTTGGGAGGTGGATGTGCCTCCAGGCGGCGGCTGCTGCCACGCTCCGTCAGCTTCTTTAGTTCTGCTCCGATCCAAAGGAGGGAATTATGTGCATTTCAAATCCCTGTTTCTGTTGTAAAATGTATGAGGCCGAGGAACCCGAACACAACACGGCCGGGGTCGACTACAAACAGAAAAACATCAGCAGCGGAGGCAGATAACACGGCGCGGACACACAAACAGCGCCAACACTGGTTTGTGAACGAGGCGCCTTCATCTGCATGTGTGTCTGTCTCCAGCTGGAGGTTTAAAGACTTCGGCTTGTCGTTCAGCATAATCCCAAATTGTCTGGGTATTAAACCTGCAAACAGGAAGCAGCGCACACACACACACACACACACAGCTGATCAGCAGTCGGCCTCCAGGCTGATGGATGTGGCTGCTGCTTGGACTTAATTAGCCACGACTGGCCTGCAGACCTACACGAGGCTGCTGAACCGACTCATTTGCTCTGATTCTCCTGGGTTTGTCCATTATTTCTCACAGAGACGTCAAAATCGAGAAGGTGACACCTGAGATTTGAGAAATGAGATCAATAAGTGGAGGAAACTGGAGCAGCCGGACGATCGGATGGCATTAGGACAAACGATGATGCGACTCTGGGATGTTTAACGATGGTTGGCTCTGCAGCTCTGAACGTTTACTGTCAGAATTTAAACTTCATATCTCACATTTTCTGTATTTTTTTATGTCTCACGTGTTTCATTTGCTATTTCATTTTTTCCCGTATTTACTTTTTTGAATTTTTGAATAACTTCTCTCATATTTGAGATTCTGTTTCTAATGTTATTTTTGGCTCATTGTGTTATATTCATATAATATTGTTCTAGTTTTTTTGACATTTTTTTCTTTTCCAGTAATTTTAATATGAGATTAATACTTTTAATCTCAGATTTAAGATTTTCTCATATTTAAATTTTTTTTTTGCACAATTTTTCTGACTTTATTTTTAAAAGATTTTGACTTGTTAAAATCTTTGAAGCTCTCTGTGTTTGTTATTTGTATTGTTTCCTCTCATGTTTTTACTTCTCATTACTTTTACCACATTTTTTGATTTTTACTAACCTTTTTAACTTTAACCGCAGTTTATTTTTCTTTCACTGTCACAAATTCACCCCTGAAAGTGAAATCTGGTGTTTTGTTTGCTCGTCTCTGATGATGTGACGTTCACGTTCACTAATCAGCATCCTGATGATTAACTCTCAGATCAAACAGGTGAGACTCCTCAGCTGTTTGGCTCAGTGTGAGGTTCACGGTGAGGAAATCTGAAATCAGTAACCGATCACATGTGTAAGCTTCACACGTTCAGCATCGGTGAATGTCTGTGATATTTCTTAAACAGCATCTGTTTGCGCGTGGGCCTTGGCTGAAACACGTAAGAGGATTTTCACATCAGACACCATAACATTCATTTTAAAACTCGGCTGTTGTTACCTTGAACGACTTCTTCCAAACTCGCCTGTTACTCTTTTGTTTTCTTGCTCGTTGAGTCTGAGTGTTATTTTCTCAGCTGGAGGCTCACATCGCCCGTCTCTGAGATGCTGCTGAGCTCCAGGGTTGGCTGTTACTGCGGCCAGCGGCGGCCATTTTTGGGACTCAGGGAGGTTTGCAAACAGTAATTACAGGCCATTACACGGCTCGTCAAAGCCACTCGGCAGCGCTCGTGCCGGCACCGAGGCGGGAATCTGCTGCAAGAATCTCAAAGGAAATGTGGATTATTCAAGTTCACAGCACATTTCTGAGCCGTGTAGGCCTGTTATTATCTGTGTGTGTGTGTGTGTGTGTGTGTGTGTGTGTGTGTGTGTGTGTGTGTGTGTGTGTGTGTGTCGGCTCTAGAAGTCTCGCAGATAAAAAAAATGCCCATAAATAAGTCGCCTTGTGACATTTCATGAACTGATCATGAGTGAAAGTTTAAAGAGCCAAACTGATTCAGGATCAGCTGCGAGTTTGTCCCCGCAGCATTCAGCCTGAGAGCGGCACTCTGATGTTTCAACAAGTTTCAACACTCAGTATCATATAGGTGTGTTTTCTACTACTAACGGGGGCGGGGCTTCTGATATTAAAACCTTTTGTGTGAGAGGGGAGGCAAATAACAAGGATGTTGAAGAGATGGAGGTAGAAGGGCTTGTTTCAGACGGATGAACCGAGAGGATAAAACGAGTCATCAGAAGCTTCAGAGTCCGAGAATAAAAACATGGAGCAAGAAATGAGCCTAAAAACCATGTCGTGCATTAAATTATAAAGATTTTTATTTTGAGTTTCTTTTTAATGTAACTAAACATTCAATAAATAAAATAAAACAAACAAGCTTCCTGATGAGGATTTTATTGACTCATTATAATATATGTATTTTTAGGCTCCTTGTTTATTTCATTGTAAACTATCGTACCTTTTTATTGGCTGTTAGGCCAAAGTTTGGTTCAGATATGTGCTGGTTACACCAGAATCCCCCAAATTAGCCATTGCCTCACAGAAGTCCCTCCCACCTGCTAACAATCCTTCTGAGGCTTATTTTGACTGTGCACCATGCAAAGCTGGGGGCTTATTATTATTATTATTATTATTGTTTTATCCTTTGAAGTCATACAGTAGCACCTCTTGGAGTTCTAACTCCATGAGCCAGTTTACCAGGTTTGGATTAACCTAGCACCGAACTGAAAGGATCTTTATTAAAAACAGTTTGCAGTCTAAGACGAGACCGACTGTTGTCCATCCCTGTGAAACTGAGCCATAGTGTCTACATGTTTATCCATGTAAACACTGTCAGGATAGGTTGATCCCGGATTATTCCGTTTATCTTGGATCTACCGATAGTATCAGGCTGGTTTACTGGGATACAGCAGGGTTTTCATGGTTAGATTACACCACCAATTCAGCTTGATTTATTTAGCACCAATCCACAGTAACCGATTCAACCGAGCACGTTAGATTGAAGAGGAAAAATCACAGCGAAGAAGCCAGCGATTCCCCGGGAGAGAGCTTTTTTCCACCTGAACCGTCTCTGTGAGTCAGAGTACAGTCAGACTCCTGTAATTGTGAGCAGCTCCTCAGGCAGGTGAAGATGAGAAGTGACTTCTGCTTTGTGCATTAATGATGATACCACCCACCAGTTTTCTTCCCTCTGAGGAGAGCAGATTTCTCAGCTCTGCGAGTCCATCTGTTATTTCCCCGGTGTAAACACTCACCTGTAGTCCAGGTGTCTGCTCGGGCTGATAAACAATCATCTCTGTCGTGTCCGTATTTTTCCTGCAGCTCAGCTCGCCGTCTGCTCTCATTGTTCATAAACTCATAAACTTGTCTGGACTGAGCGTGTGATCAGAGCCGGGATGTCGGGATTTAGCAGCAGCACTCGTGGAGGTGCCGCAGGTGTGACTCACCTTATTGATCCGCCTGCCTGTTGTCTGTCTCCGTATTTAACGCGCTGCCTTTGTTTGTGTCTCTGCCGTTAGATCTGTCAGAGAAGAAGAGCGACCTGAGGGTCTGTGATGACTCCACCTGCCGATTCGGGGGCACCTGCAGAGAGGACGGCGCTCAGCTCAAGTGTGTCTGCCAGTTCCAGGTAGATGACATCATTTATTTATTTTTTTTAATCTTATTGGACATAAAACGTTTACCTGGTCATCAATGACATGTTTAAGTTAGAGTTGTGTTCCATTAGTTCATGTTAACAAGGTTCCAGAAACATTCGCTGATATTATCTATAAAGTGTATTACTGTATTTTCCGCACTATAAGGTGCACTTTAAATCCTTTCATTTTCTCAAAAATCGACCGTGTGCCTTATAATCCGGTGCGCCTTATGTATGAATTCTGATGTGCTTACTAACCCTCAAACCCATTTTATGTGGTACACGGCGCTCAAAAATCTGTTAAAAAATGTTTTTGTACGACTTTGGTAAGCTACGAAGCCGCACCACCTGATGGACTGTCGGAGCATTACAGCTATCGTCAGGAGCCTCGCGGAGTAATCTGGGTCCTAAACTCCGTCAGGTCCCAAAAACAAACGAACACTGCGGCATCACTGAGAGTTAAAAACTGTCTAAATTCTTTCATCTTTAATAAAATGATCAGCGTTGTAATAAGGTGTAACAATTAAGTTTAACATCCAGGCATCCATGAAAACAGAATTTATTAAGTTTAATGGAGTTTGAAGTTAGCATGAAGTTAGCTCGCTAGTTTCCACCTAAACATGATATAGCATGTTCTGACTGAGAGATTTCTGAAAAAATTAAAATGTGAAGACATGAAACTAAACAACAGTGACTTTTGTAGGGTTACTGAAGTTGGACTAGCTGGTATATAATGATGTGCTACGTGGTCGCTAGCGACACAGCTATGTTAGCATAAACAGTGAAGCTGGAGGATGAACGCTAACTTTTTTCCACTCCATAAAAGTTAACATGAGGGTTCCTGATGGTTAGAGACAAATGCAATCGCATGGCAGGATGCTGTAAACGGACCAAACTTCAGTCAGGAGAACAACTGAGATAATCCATCCACAATACGAGGTTAGTCATTAATATACTGCAACAACATGGGAAAGTTTGACTTATCTGACTGTTTTGTTTTGCTTAATGTGCCTTATGGTCCAAAAATACGGTATTCTAGTAAATATTTGGAAAGCTGTGTGCAAAAGTCTTGCCACCCCGCATGTCTTTATAGGTTGCCATGAAAACAGGAAGTGTTTGCAGCAGTTTACTGAAACATGCAAACATGCACAGAAATACAGCTTATGAGGCAAAAACAGAGTTTGTGCAATTCTAACAAGCCTGAACGTTGATGTTTGGTGTGACCACCTTTATTCCTTAACACAGGCTGAACATTTCTTGTCATTTAAGTAGTCTAACAGTAGGTGGATGGGATGAATGTCCAGATGCACATCTCAGCTCCTGTGTCAGGGTTTTGTAAAATAAAGACCCTATGCAGCATAATACAGAGAGACCACAACGATCATATGACCCCCTATGAGCAAGCGCTTTGGGGACAACGGGGAGGAAAAACCCCCTTTTAATCCTCCACCAGATCCAGGCTCAGGGAGGGGCGGCTATTAGTTGGGGGTGAGGGATGTAAACACTGTGTGACAGGAATGCACACTCCATGCTTTAGTAACACTTATGTGCGTCTATATTTTGCACCCCATTTATGAAATAAATTCGCTAACAAAGCTAGGTAGCATTAGCTGATAATTCCACCCTCTTGTCCACACGCCGGTCACTTCTAGCTCTGAAAAAGCTAACATGGTGGTAGCCAGAATGCTAACTTTGATCAGTGCACAAGGAAGCACTATCTCTCATTGGCAGCTCAGGCGCCCTACCTCTGAAAATGAGACAGGCATGTAATGTTCACCTCCCTCTTTAATATGAAAATGGAGCAGTCACAGCAGCAGTGTGTGAATAATAAAATCCTGCGAGCAGCCGGCCTGTCTGCGGTCTCTTCTCAGTTAATTCTTGTTAGTTTTAGGAGCTAAAATGAGGAAAAACACCGTGAAGTTCTTTCTGACACATAAAGAAGCATGACCCGCCTGCAGCGTGTTCCTCTGATATGAAACAAAATATAATTACTCTCCCGTCAGCCTGTTGTATTCGCTGCATATTTAGTCGAACGGCTGCAAAATAAAAGCAGCGGCAGCGTGAAGGGCAACTCCTGGAAGCAGAATTCACCACACAGCTGCAGCTTCACCGCAATAACAAGACACACGGCGGCTGTTTGAAGCTGGCCGTCACGCTCCGTGAGCTGAAAGCAGAACCCACATTCATGTGCACACAAAGAGGACAGAGCGAAGCGAGCGCAGCCGTTCGACGTGATCAGAGGAGTTTCACAGCTGTCCGAGCGAGACGGCGGCTCTGAGGAGTCTTCAGCTGCACACAGAAGCAGCGACAGCCTGAATTATAACTCTGATTGTAACAGGAGGAAGAGCCTGAAAGCCTTCCAGTCCACACTGACTGCATGATGAAAAGCCCGGCCCTTTGTAAACCCACCGCCCACCCTGACCACCTGCAAAGTATGATGCAGTTCATGCCCTGAAGCGCGCAATGCAGTCAAGTACAACTTGCAGAATGAGACTCGTGTAAGTCCACACCGCAGCAATCGACATCACCCAGAAAGCTTCTTCAGGACCTGAAGTTATTTGATCAGTGTGATGCTGTGTGAGACCACCAGTGCCGTTTCTCCATCTCACCGCCATTCGTCATGTTCACAAGTGTTAAAATATGATTATATTATAAAACTAGGAGATGAGCCTGGTGCGCAAACACAGGTACAATAAGATCCTGCTTGTGCTGTAGCAGCAACTGATCCCACACGACGTTCCGATCCTTTAAGGTTTATCCAAAACGCACTTTTTGAAGTTTTTCTCTGGCGAATGATGAGAAAAAAAGATCAAACATCCGAGTACCAAAGCTTGTTTCTGTTGCTGCACATCACAGACGTGTATCCATGATAGTGATGCACAAAGTAGAGGTATAAATAAGGCTGAACAGAGATTTGATTTTGTCTTCAGATCAGGACACAGATGGAGTCGCAGTAACATTTATTTGGTGTCTTTCAGCCCTGAGAACTTCACGTGGAAATCTCCTGCATGGATGAAGTTCCAAGGGCTCAAAACAACAGAGTTAAACAAGTTATGGTACAAGCAGGGTAATTTTTCATGGAATGACCCTTTAATTTGTTGTAAATAGTTATCATCATGTCAAGCCTTCCTTTATAAATGCAGTCATTTAAAAGGTGACTGCCCCCTAGTGTCCAAATGTGTATCGCGGCAAAACAAAAGAAGAATAAAGAGCCGTTACAGGTAGTTCAAACATGCAGAAGTCTACTACTTCCTGCTGCAGCTTTGGATCTACATTTAATATTAAACAGTGCAAGCTTATTAATAAATAAACACTAAAATTGCTTATTAGCAGAAGCAAAGCCTTTCTGGCTGCTCCGCAAACCTCACACAGCTAAATCGTTCTGTTTTCATTTTTCTGCCACTAGACTTGCTAACAAGATGAACAGTAATTGTAATTGGAAGGCTTTGAAAGGTCAAGCACGCTGGATCCTTTTGATAACGACCTGACTGTCATCTGTTTCCCATCTTCTGTTCTGCCTCCACAAAAGGCCTCAAGGACAGCCTGAAGGTTGCTTGTTGATGATGCAAAAAAACATCACACTGTGTTCTCGTGTCTGCAGGGAAGAGCAGATGTAGTGTAGGGGAAGAGGCGCTTCTGGGGGTTTTATAATGGGATCAAACAGCGGGGATCGAGGCCCAGTTGATTCAGATTTCTATATCTGAAAATTTATATGAAAACAAAGCACCAAAGCAAACCATGTGAAAAGTGGTTCAAGCTTCAGTGAGTTTTATTTGTGGGCAGGCGGAGGTGCCCGTCTCTGTGTTCAGTTCTCTACGTCTGCATCTTCACAAAGAATATTCATGGACGAGAACTTCCCCAAAGTCAACTGGGAGCATGATCCAGATGTTTGCAAAGTGAGTTTTATTTGGAGGCAAGTCATTTCCTGTCATACATATCCTCTTTCAGCAGTGGATGTTCATATTAAACTTCCTCGTGTGCCTAAAGCTCAGGCTGCAGACTGCTCAAAACACTTTTGCGTCTACTTTTGGATCTTGGTGATGTCATAGATTGGAAACCCCACCCACCTGCTCTTCAAACCTTCTGTTTGTGACAGTCAGCCAGTCAGTACAAAGCTGGCCTAAAGGGGAGGGGCTTGTTTCAGACAGAGGGGGAACTGAGGCTCTGCACCGAGGACCATTGTGAGATAAAGAAGGATTATTTTTAGCTGTTAGTCATGCAAAGCTACTCTAAAAGAGTAAAAATATGGAGCTGGAGATGAGCAGAACTGGCACTATTTAAATTTTCCCTTTTCAAATATAGTTTCTGACAATGGCTGTGCTTCACCTCGCAGCATTATCGGCTCTGTGAAAGTAAAAAGTGTCTGAGAGCTGAAGTGGCCCTTTAATGCAGATAAATAAATCTAACTCTGCACTGCGAGTCAGCAGTTTTCAGCGGATTTATCTCCCGTGGAGCCTTGAAATAGCTCGAAACCATTAAAACTTTATGGTTTCTGTGCAGGTTTGTGTATGTGTGAATGTAAATCAGTCCAAGACACACATTTTTACGTGTGTTACGCTTTAGTGAGATGACAGAGATCCTCATTAAAGCTATTTCACTGTCTGATAGGAGCTGCTCCACCTGCCTGCCTGCAGGCAGGGCCATGCAGTCAAAAAAATCAAACATCCACCTCCAATGAAACTCATCACACCTGCCTTCATTTAAAGGACTAATCTGTTCTATTTTCACCGAAATAAGCCTTCTGTTCTCCTCTAACCAGCAGGGATCCGACTAATTCCCGATCATTAAAACTTCTGAGTTTGCTTCTCTGAACAGAAAAAGAGCTTCAGTCACTAAAACTGAACAAAGAAAGCCAAACATGCTGATGAGTGCTGATAATGAGCTCTAGCTGAAAGTCTGATGGAAAGAAAAAAACACGTTACAACAAATTTACTTCAGCAGAACAAAACCACAAAATGCTGACGGAGCAAACCAGGAAGAGTCCTGACAGGACAGAAAAATGTTCTCCTCTCAGCTGGAGGTTGGATGCTGCTCATCGGTTGTTTTGTCTTTCATGGATTTCAGCTGCCGACTCCATCGGACTCTCTTCCTGTTGGATATGAACCTGGACTGCTTCTGCAGTGTGTTGGAGGTCACGGAGGTCAAACCTGCAGGGGATTCCTGCTAAATGATTGATGTGTGAGAGTTAATAGAATATGGATTGCTGAACACTGATATGTGTCCTTGGCAGCTGTAGCTTATAGCTGACAGTGTGAGCAGAGCGGGTTTATATAACCTCCATGGAGAGCGAATGAAACTCTGTAAGTGCCTGACAGCTTGCATCATATTTGACCCATATTGATCACACATGTACAGCACAGGCTTGATAACGCCATCTTTCTCCTCTCTACCTTTAAACGTGCACTGCATGGACTCATTTCAAGTCGTGAACTCATTTCTGTGCAAACATCCAAAGGAGGTGATGCTCAGGCTCAGGACCTTCAAAGAAAACATGCTGAGCCGCTCAGTTAAGAAGAAAACTAGAACCACATTGCAACAGTGTTGCAGAATAATATAGCGAATTACATTTGATAACATAGTAACGTTTCTCTGACTCTGATGTAACACAAATAAATAAAATACTCTGTATCTGAAGGGTTTATTCAGGACTGTGTGTGTTTCTGTGAAAAACTGCTTGTAGGATCTCATTTAGCTGCTGTAACTCGAGGTGATCATATCGTGACAGTTTCTCATCGTCATACAAGAATTCTGGCCCAGACTTGTTCACAGCGTTGCTTTTTGAGGTTCTTTCATGCACATCTCTCTTTAAGTCCCACCACAGCATCTCAGTCGGGAGGTCAGAGGTCTGAACATTGACTGGGCCTCTGCAGAACTTGGGTCCTTTTATGTTTCAGCCCTCGCGTTGTAGATTTGTTGCTGTGCTTTGGGTCATTTCATGGTGCATGACCCAGTTTGGTCCAAGCTTTAGCTGTGGGACAGATGGCCTCACATTTGAGTCAAGAATCTTTCGATATGCAGAGGAGTTCAAGGTCAACTGTACGGTGCCCGAATCATCACTTCTCCACCTCCGTGCTTTGTAACGTGCTGTCACAAAACTCTCGGGGGTTTTGCAGTTTCTCTGAGCATTGGACGGTGTGAGATTGGGGTGAATTCGCTGGGAAAATTGTGGAATTGTGTTAACACACCTGAATGTTCCACACCAGCAAACTTCCACAGCTTCTGCTCTTATAATGTGCTCACACACGTGACTCCTATGAAACTCATGTGTTAAGTGTTTTTATTGTATTTCTGTTCTAAACTTTGTGACTTACAATCTGAGAAATGTCGTCCATATGACAACGAGTAAAATCTAAAGCTAACATTCAAACTGATAAACGCTGATAAAAATTAAAGCATCTAAACATGTTTTAACAATAAAAGCTTGACTCAAACGAGCAAAATAAAACCAAAATGTAAAACTAGACCTTATTGATCATCATTATTATTGTAACCAACAATAATTCCTGTAATGTATATAGCTGATGTAATTAATAGTTTTGCATAGTTGTGCTAGAGTCAATCTACATGTTTTGGACTCCTCCCCCTGAGTGAAGTGACCCCCTCTCTCCATGGTTCGTCTCTGTCGTCACACTGAAGCTTAATTAACATCTGATTGTGTTTGATTTCCAGTGTCACAAAAACTACGTTCCTGTGTGCGGCTCAAACGGAGACACCTACCAGAACGAGTGCTACAGGCGACAGGCGTCCTGCAAGCAGCAGAGACTCATCTCCCGGGTGTCCGACGGGCCCTGCTCCACCGGTGAGTGTGTGCCAGGAAGTACACAGTGTTGACGCAATGGAAACGGGAATTAACGCTGTCCGGGTGACTGACCGATTGAGAGTGAGGGTTCGTCAGAAAAGTGAATTATAACGGCTCATTTACTGATATCGAGCTGCGAGGACATCAGTCAGGCTATGAGGGCTTCCGCCGTTTAAGGCGTCATCTGAGGGAATCATTCAGCTGCCGCCTCATATTAAGAGTCGTGGCGTCTTCATTTGAACATCGCCTTCATTCGTCTTCATTCTGTTCCATCACTCATGATGTAATGGCTTTTTTAAAACAGCACAGAGGGAATTACGAAGAGAAACTGTCGAGAAACAACCTCATATACAACCTCATGATATACACACCGTCTTAAAGCATCCAACTTTTAAATGTATATATACTCAGCGCCTGATATAATCAATCAATGCTGCGAGTGATGCAGGTGAGTGCAAAAAGCAGTTCAAGTAACACGTCTTCTGCTGCTCTGACACTAAAACCTAATTTCACATTTCAGTTTGCACAGATTCTTTTTCAAGAAAAAATATGAGAAATTTGCTAAGTTTCCATTTGTTGTGGGCCTGTTCTATTCTTGGACTCTACTAAAGGAGCTTTGTGTGATTTACAGTTCACAATAATCCTTATTTATCTTATCTTGGGCCTTAATGCTGTCCACCAGTAGATGCTCTCTGTTGTAGCTCCTCCCACTCCCATTATGCTAGCAATCTTCTGATTGGCTGCCTCGCTCAAAAGATTTTAAACAGCAGGAGGGGCTTCTGTGCCTGTAATGACCATATTAGGGATATCCCCTCTCTGTGACATCATATAAATCCAAGAGTAGAAAAAAGCTGCAGCAGTGAAGCTGAGAGGAGCCGACATAATGAAGGTAGAGAGTTTAAACATTTGGACACCAAAGCAACGGACAGTCAGGGTGGAGTGGGTGGAGGCAGGTGTCAGCGGTGATTTGTGATAGAAGCACAGCAGCAGAGTGGACGGGAAGGTTTAAAGCTGGTAGTGTGCATCATTCTGCTGTGATGTGTGATCTGGAGACAGTAGCACTGACAAAGACAGACGGCCGAGCTGAAGACGTAAGACTTTCACTGGGAGTGAGCAGGAAGGACTGGATTCACTCAAGAGACAGAGGTGGAGATGGTGTGGATGTGTGCAGAGGAGGAAAGGTGGATATATTAGACGAAAGATGATGAAGGTGGAGCTGCCAGGCTGGAGGAAAAGAGGAAGATCTAAGCAGAAAGGAGCAGCTGAAAGAAGAAGAAGCAGAAAACTGCCTGATTTTAGATTTCAGAGCAGTTTGAAACGAAACTTTGAGGCTTAAATAGAGAGAGATGTCGCTGCAGTCACGTACTCGTGACATCCTCTCCAACAGAATATTTTCATTCAAGTTGGCAGATGTTTGTAGAAAAACTACTTTTAAGCTGTAATTAGTCTGCTGTGACCGTCATTACGAGAGGAAGTTTTAAAAAAGCCGACATTTTCTAACACAAAGGGATTTTTTAAAAAGTATCGAATAACTTTCAAATTTTTTATAGACCTTTTTATTAGATACAAGCTAAAACCATTAAAGGTACATTTTACTGCTTTTTACGAGAGACAAAGACACTGGTAGTGCCGCTTTGTTTATTTAGAATATTTTTGACAGCCACAGTTAGCAGCAGATAATTATACGTTTTTTTAATATATACACACAATTCTCGTTTCCCGACCAGAGCGTCAGTATCCAGTAAAGGTCCTAAGCTGCCCCCCCCCCCACCATGCTAACCAAGCCTACCTCAGACACGTGCGCTGCCCAGATTAACAAGGACCGCATCAGGTGTTGAGCAACCAGGACACCCTGATGAGAGCTGGGCTACTGGAACTAGACGGTGGGTGAAAACAGGGCGCTGTTGGAATGCTACTACACGAGTAACCCCAGCGGAAAAATCACCTTTGTTGCTGAAAGATTTGATAGATCACATTTGAGCCTCTGCTGAGTGTAACTGCTCGGTCTCTGACCCTGGACTTTCATAACCCTCCAGGTTTGGGAGGATTTTACTGACTCGTTCAGCGACTCGTAATTAAAATTGATCTGCGGCTGATTAACTGGCTCGTTCTCTGAAATCAATGTGACTGATGACGTTGTTCAGAGTTCAGAGGAAAAGCCGAGGACGAGCTCTCAGCGTTTGATGTTCAGTCAATTAAAAACATAATGACAGTGAACTCGGAAGGCATGAAAACACGGCAGCAAGGCCGACTGCTGGAGCGTAATTAAAAGTATAAGTGAGGCACTTATTCACATTATAAAAGCCAGAGTTTGAAATATGATGAGTTCTATGTTTGTGCAGAGAAACACCTGAAATACTTCATATTATACAGTTTCTAGTTAAAAGCTTGTCTTTTCTAACAGCTCAGGTCTGCTGTGTTATCTTATTTTCAGGGAAATGAAACGTCTCTACATATTGTTGACATTGAAAGGATCTATATGTGTGGTTAAAATCAGTTCATGCTGAATAAATCAAATAAAATAGCTGCAGCTGTGATGACCTTTGACGAGCTCTGTAAACCTCAGGGATGTGTTGGAGTCCGACTCACCGTCACATCCATTGATCAGTTATTAAAGTGGACCTCCTGCATCAGAACCAACACCCACACAGACGAACAGCAACAACACAAACTGGAACAGAAGATTGAATCTTGATTTTCAACGCCCAACGCGCATGTTCAAAACAAAGGGCAGCCGGTTTAATCGCTCACAGCGAGCGGGAAGAATGCAGGCGGTGAGAGCTTCTGACGTTATATCGATTTAAATCAACAGAGCCTCCGCTTTCTTTGTTTTTCTGACCGTTGGGTCGTTAAGATGCTGATATCACTTATAGTCTTCAAAGTTATTTCCGAGCACATCACAACAGTAACTACTGGAGAATAGTTCAGTCTGGACTATTGTTCCTGTTCTCGCATCGTTTTTAGGAATGTCTGAAGTTCAGTGCAAATAATCTTCCTGAGTCATGAAATAAAATCTTTCCAGTTGTTCGTCGTGTCTTTGATCTGAGCTCTGTTCGCCCCTTATTTGTGGCTTAGCCATTTAAAAACGGAGGTTGGTTATTTGTTTGTTGAATTTCTCTTGTTCTCTGATGACGTATCGACTGACTTTCTAGTCCGAGGGTTTCCTGCTATGCCCGAGCCTCTCGTCTTTTTAATGTGCTGCAGTTCTGGCTCTTATTTTTGAGAAATGAAACAAGCCTCCAAAAACTGTAGTCCTCGCTCTCCTCTGCCTTTTTATTGGCGTTATTCATGTGCAGCACATCTTTAACTGCTTAAAACCTCACAGTGAAACTGCAGCCCAGGGGCGCCGCCACTCCAGATATTTTAACCCTTCATTAAAGAGTCGCTCTTGGTCCAAATAAGACTTCAGTGTGGACGTCCAGCTCAGCGCCGGGTGTTTTTATTGAGTAATCGTCTGAGATGTTCTCTTGGCTGAAGTTTGCCCCTCACACATTTAACCCTCATCCTCCATCGTCCCTATGCTAACGTCTTTATTTTAATATTAAATTAGATTAGCTACAGCTCCAAACACTGCTGCTGTTTAGTATTCACTTATTCCCACGCTTGTGATAATGCCGTGCAGTTTAGTTTTTTAGAATTACTTCAATCAGAACACAGTTTATCATCTTTAGAAGGAAACTAGCGAGCTAACTTCCTGCTAACGTCTAACTGCTCTAAACCTCGGTGGTCCTTGTTTTCAGTCTGATTTCTGTGTTCCTGGTCGTCTAGTAAGTCAATTATATTAATTTCTGTTTACAAACCTGAAAACCTCTCAGCTTTGGATCATTTAAAAAAAGAAGATGCCCGAAGTTTAGCCGTAGCATCTGATTTAGCGTGGGTCATTAAATGGTCGCTCCATGTTGGGCTCTGTTCTGACAGACACTTTGGTTCTGTTATATATTTTGTGGCATCTTGTCCCCTCCCAGGCCTGTTTTACTCTGAAAGCCTGTGTAGATCATTAAAACCACTCATTATCTTTAAGAAGTCAGATTACAGCACAAGGCCGACAGTATCCTGATTACTTACGAAGATCCTGACCACTTAAAGCTTAAGATCTAACAGATGGAGTTTTACTGCATCAGGACAATTAATACCACATTAGCACGTCACACCACAGCCATCCTGAAGCCATGATCATTACTGTGCTGCTGTAACCTTTAGTCAGCCTTTCCTCCAGATGCTGAACCCACTGCTCCCATTAGTGAGCTGCTGCTGGTGCTAACAGTTGGTGATCTGGCTTTCCAACGCCTCACTGGAAAAACCACTGCTTTGAGGTTCTGGCTATGTGAGCAGATGTACTCTTACACTTAAATGTGCAAAAATATTTGACTTTAATTACATAATTAAAAGTAGCAAACCATAAAAACAGGATGAGACTGTATTTACACAAACCTTTGGCCATATGCTGCGTATCTACAGAGCCGTGTGTGAGGAATGAATCCGGTTTCATTTCCCAAAGGCTGCTGGTCTTCCACAGCTGGATGCTCACCAGCCATCCATCAGAGCTACGCTAAAGCACTAACAGGTTAGCATTTTCCCCATCAAACACCCCGCAGATTCCCTGGACTCGGATGTCTCTGCAGGCCAGACAGATTTTATGTCTCCTCTCCTGAGAAATGAGTTGTGGAAACTTATAGCAACGCCACAGCGGCTACGTTGGTGGTGGCGGTCAACTCCATCTGCAGGGGCAGTGGCCTGATTTCCCAGGAGGCATCGGCTGGTGCTCTGCTCTTATTACCCACTACACCGGAGAGCTTGTGCCCTCCACTTTCCTCGCCTCCCTCCTGGCCTTCTGCAATTTCCTCTCCCTGAGATTTATGCTTCCTGTAATTGGAGCGTTCGACGGCTTTGAGCAGAGGCAACAGCACGAAAGCTCGGCTGATTTTATTTCCCCGAGCAGGACAGGAGATGGAGGAAATGCAGCGATTTGGGTCCCTTTTTTTCTTAGAGAGCAGTGTGGGAGGTTACAGGAGCTGGGACGGCTGAGACTCCTCGCTGGGATCTGATCACAGGTCAGTGGTGGGTGTAGCTGCCCAGCTGAGAGGCTGAGACTCCACATTAGCCTTAGGTCAGACTTATTACTCTTTAAAACGCTCGTTGTTGGCTTTCTGGCTCCATTGGCTGAGGAGAGCAGAGAGCAGAGCAGATTTCACAGCTGGAAGAAGATGATGTGACATTACAGACCTTTGAAGTTCAGACAGCAAACTTTTCAAGGGAACTTCTTCTGCTTTCTGCCATATATATACTGTTCCAGTGGGTGTTCATATTAAATTATACCAAAAGTATCAAATAATGATGCCAGCAAATGTGGATATTCTCTCAGGCTCTAAACACTCACACAGTCTTTACCCCACAGCCATAAACGGCTGATGCGGTAACGTCGTCACCGGGTGGGCGGTGTGGACAACTAAGCTTGTGATTGAGGCGATATAGGAGCCTCAAAGTTTTACCATGAGGGGATTTACTAAAAGTTTAAATCTCAGTGACCTCGACCTCAACATTAGGTCACTGTCAACTATGGCAGCACAGGTGTGTCTGCTAGGAGGCTGACGGATGGCTGCCTGAGGTTTTTCTCTAGTCTTGGATCTGCACGATGTCATAGAGAGGGGATATCCCTCATAAGTCATCTGAGGCACACAGCTGTAGCAGTGAATCCTTTTTTGTGCTGTGCAGCCAATCAGAGGGAAGGCTCAAAGGGGGAGGGGCTAAAACATGTAGTTTCAGACAGAGAACAAACTGAGGGGATGGACCAAGGCCCAGGCGCTTTATATTGTAAGATAAAGACCAGTAAAGATGTTCATTAATTACAAACGACTAAATTATTGATGCGCTCCTGCAGCTAAAGCAGAGTACTCTGAATAATCAGCGAGCTCATGATCCATCACAGTTCAGGTCGTTGCCAGTGAAACAACATATCTGACCTTTACCTTGATTGCAGTTTGGGTAAAAACTCATTAGTTTGTGCGAGTTTGATTAAATTTGGACCACTACTGTAGGAGTAGCAATTCTGGAATGAGCTTATTGATCCTTTAATTCAATTCAGTTTTATTTATATAGCTCTAAATCGCAACAAAGCACTTTATATTGTAAGATAAAATGCTAAAATAATACAGAGAAAACTCCAAAAATCAGACCAACCCTATGAGCGAGCATGTGGTGACAGTGGCAAAGAAAAACTCCCTTAAACAGGATGAAACCTCCTGCAGAGCCAGGCTCAGGGAGGGGCCAGTTGGGGTGTGGGGAGGGCAAAAGTTTATAAGTTTCTAAGATAAATGAAGATAAATTGTAACCGAATCAAGCAGAGCTGCTCTAGTTTAAAGAAGTGAAAGCCTGAACACTTTTTTATTACTTGACTGTGTGTAAAATAGTAGAATTAAATTGAAAAAATGTAAATAACTAATCAAAAACAACAATACCCATGAGCCTCCAGCACCAGTCAGGTGTGGAGGGGTATAAACATTAAGACTGTAATTTAAAGACGGCACCACTGTAGCCAAATATGTCAAAATGTGACCAAATAAGAAAAATTCTATGAAATATTAAAATTGTAATAAAATCGAGACAGTTCTCACTGTCTGCGCTCTTTTGGTTTCATGGGGGCCACTCATGAGATTGTCCTCACGAATAAGTCAGAATCTGAAAAAAAACATCAGTCATTGTCTTTATTTATTATTATTTTACAAGGACGCTGTCCATAAAAGACAAATACTGGTCTGTTCAGAGTTTACAGCAGGACCCTCGATGTTGCTGTTTCCAACCAGTAACTCCAACAGATCATGTGTAGCAGAAGCAGCTGGTTATGGGTGTTGAATCATTTCCCTGCCTGGATGGAACCTGATGTCTTTATAGTCTGATTAAGTGGAAGCAGAATGACTTTCTTAGATCGGCTCTGATTGGCCTAAAGGGAGGGTGGCCTCAAAGAAAATGAGCTAAAGCAGCTTGGTTCAGTTGAATCGAATGGCTCTACCGAGGTTCGTAAGATAAATAAGGATTATTTTGAACTGTGAGTCATGCAAAGCTGTTCTAGTGGAGTCCAATAGTAAAAACTACAGAGGTGGAAATGAGCACAAGAGGTCCACTTTAAAAGCAAAACTGGACCTGGCTATCGATAGCATGTGCTGTTTAGTATGCAGATGCAGTGAGCAGCTCTGGGACAAACATCAATGTCATCGATTTTCCTTCATGTTTATGTGAACCTGAGATACAAACAGGGCCCCGCTGGAGCCGGAATGAGCTTATCGATGGCCAGGCCAGCGTCCCCAGGAATTACGCCCAGTCCCACACCAGTCTATATCTGAAGCCAACATTTAGTGCTAATGCAGGGAGACTTGTGTCCTTTAGGCAGCGAGCGTTTCGAGGTGTGGAGGCGCTCTGGATAAGGTGGGAATCTTTATTAATCTCAGATCTGGTTCTTGGCCCAATTAGTTTGTAAATCAGTTGTTTGATCAATACAAAGACGAGCTCTTTGTGCACTTCATTATGTGTCAGAGCACTCGCCCTGCAGATGAAACATACTTCCCCTTTAATTAGGAGCTGGAGTGTGCAGGATGTTCTAACGTAAAACCTTTTTCCTGGGTGATTATTAAAACTCACTGAGGTCTGAGTTACAACATCAGATATTTCTGACCTGTCACAGTACCAGATCATTTGTAGAAATTGTCCAGTGTTCAGCTGGTTGTAGTTTTACGGACTTCATAGTTAATAAAAAGAAATCAACCTGCTTTTGGTCCTTTTTCTGTCTTTAAGTGCTTCATCTTAACATATTTGCCGGGATTGTTAGTCTCCAGAGGATGGATCCTCTTGATTTTGTAGGTTCTTCTCTTCACACCTACTGAACAGATTACAGGTGTATTTAACACTCAGCAGGTCACCGGGGAGCCAGGCTGTCGAGAAGGGTTTGGTTAACTTCCTGCTCTTTTACATGACATTTTTAAATGTAATAATATTTAAGAAGGTCCAGTTACACAACACATCCTCAAACAAAGACCCAAAATATTCCACATGCATTATAAATCAATGAACTAGCCTAATGGTTATAGCGGTGATGTTAAAATTTCTTGTTTAAAGAAAAAAATTCAAGCGAAAAAAAATGCATTTGAAAAAGCGCTTAATTTAAAATAACACAAAGGTTTCGTTTGACACCAGCAAACTGCATTTTTCTCCTTTTTCATAAACTCGTAAATCGTCTCAGATTTCTGTCTCTGACTTATTTCATTACACTACAAACATCGGCGACTGTAAGGACAAAGGAAAAGACTTTGCAGACACCAATATTGAAGCGAAGTCCAGTAAAAGGTCCGGCGTGAGGTGACCGAGGCTCTAAATGTGTAGACCAGACCTGGGTTTGGTGACATAATCCTCTGTCATCAGATACCTTCTGCATCTCTTGTGACATTCAAGGAGTATTTTTGGCATCATGGCTCTGATGGGTGAAGCAATTGTGGCCACTGAAAGGCCAAAGACGGGTTTTTAACTCGCAATAATAACCACCTTCAGGTAACTGCTGTTGTGATTTGGTGCTATATAAATTGAATTGAACTGAATTGAGAGATAACTGCACTGTCTGAGGCAAAGAAACTCCTTATTAGTAGGATGGAATGATGGTAGCGTCTTAAGGTTGCAGGTGTTGGTGTATCAGCTCTTTTTTAATGATATTTTTACTGGTTTAAAGTGTAAATAAGCACTCAGTCACGATTAGACACTAGAAACTACTCGGTAAGGTTTCAGCACTGAAAAGAAGCTTAGATTAGGCAGCAGAGTCCTCTCGGTTTGGTTTTAGCTTTAAAACCTTACTGGTTTGGTTAGAAAAAGAAGTTTGGGTTATAAGACGCTCATCAACGACAGTAACCCTGCTCATTAATAAACAATGCGTTTGCAGCGTCATAACCGAATGCATCAGGGCGCCACAGGACAGCAGACTTACTGTCAGGATGACAGCAGGCTGGTCGTGACGTGAACAGTAAAGTTCATGTAG